TTTTTGAGAAAAAAGAAAACTATTTTCGACTAAAAAGAGACGAATACTTTCGGTCGACAAGAAGACTATACAAAATTTGAACTTTGTGGATGATTTATGTCCAGTGTCACACGAACTCGAAAGGCAAACAGCAACAAGTTGGCAAGAGGAAAAGCGAAGACAGAACTTCAAGTGAACATAAAGAAGATAGAGGTGATGAAGATACCCACCGACCAACAACCACAAGAACCAATCACTATCATCAGGAGAAACTTGAAGAAAGTTACCACTTTCACTTATCTAGGTAGCATCCTTTGACAACAAGTTGAGGTACGGATGAAGATGTCAAAGTCAGCTGGGACTGGATGGGCCGGACAGACCTTCATTAATTTGAAACCAGGGTGTAAGTCTACTACATTCGGCATGAGAACGGTGACTTGGATTTTCAACACTAATGTCAAGTCAGTCAGTGATTCTTGATGGTTCAAGGACTTCACTAAAGCGTCACAAAAACATTTCAAACAGGCTATTACAGACTTCTATCAACAGCCGTAATTCCTGACTCCACAGAAAAGATCAGCCGAGCGGGAAGGATAAGCAACAAAGAACTCATTCAGGTTACGAGCCAACGAATCAAATGCAATCTGGAAATAATCCTGAAGTTTAAGCTATAAAGTGATGTTCAGTTAATCAAAAGCCACAGGTTTAGTAATCCAAAACTAAACTCCTACTTTAGCCACGTTCTCTGAAATCACACAATGTTTCAATATGACCATAATGATTCATAAGTATAGCGTCCTAGAGAATTGTTACTGAACCTGTAAGATAGTTTTAGATGTGTTCAACCTACTAGCAGAAGCTCATGCCCCATCTGTTTCGTAAAAAAATTTGAGTGGTACGCTTGACACTTGGTAGTAACTATATGGATGTACCTGAAATATCCAGTGAGTGGCTGTGTTTCTACTAATACTCGAATGCAGCACCCATAGTCTGTACCAGGAACCAACATGTCAACAGAGATCGAACGTTTCAGTTCGATACAATCAGTCAGTGGAATCAAAATTAACATAGCATATCGTAACTGATAGCCGTTGTTTTCGAGGACAACTCTTTGCAGTTTGAAACAATGGAGTCTGCCTTCAAGTCTCAATAGGTACACATAAACTTACTAAAAATAACAGGTACATTTAGCTGTTGAGTCCTAAATAAGAAGAAATAAGCATCCTGGATTACACTGCCAGTCACCATCAATCAAGTAAAATCTGACCACCAATGGATTCTATTTAAAACTGTAGCGATCGAATTCATCTCGTGTACCATTCATAAATTAACCGTGTTTTTTTATTCAGGGGGAAACTTTTCATCCCTTAGTTATCTAATTCAGATTGGAAACTACTTAAACACCATGGTATGCAGTGGCCAAGTCTTTATCAACCTCATTCAGTAGCTGGCTATATAAAAATGCCACGTGTCAGGTGATCCACAAGGGAAAACTCAGCTAGGTATTGCAGTGAATACAGGAGTAAGACAAGGCTGTCCACTACTGTCACCGAAGATATTCCTGATTGTGGCGGACTGGATTATGTGGCAGACTTTGAGGAGCAAGAAAACAGGAATACGTTGAACGGACAATAAGACTCTAGAAGATCCAAACTTCGCAGGCGATTTATATGTAATGTCACAAAAACTCAAAGAATTGCAGGCGTAAACCAACAAAGTCGCTGAAGAAGCTTGCAGCGAAGACAGAACTGCAGATGAACATAGAGAGAAGGTGATGAAAATAACCAACCAACCAAAAACAAGTAACAGTCACTATCAACTGCAGAAATTTGGAAGAGTTCACTTCCCTCTCTTATCTCGCCTGAGCAGCATCATTTCAGCTACAGGAAACGTGGATGAGGATGTCAAAACCAGGATTGGAAATGCAAGGTATATCGCCTTCATCACTCTGAAGTCAGTGTGGAAATCAGTCCCACTGAGCATAAACAACAAAATTAGGATTTTCAGTAGTAATGTCGAGTCCGTTCTTATATATTGGTCAGGAACTTGGTGTGCGCTTCACAAAGAGCATTTCCACCAGACTGCAAACACTTATCAACAGCTGTCTCAGCTACATAGCCAATATAAGATTACCAGGAAAAATTAGCAACAATAAACCCTGATACCAAAACAAACAAGAACCTACTGGTCAACAAACATGCATTAGAAAATGGAGATGGATTGGGTATACACTGAGGAGACCATCGAATGACATCGCGCCCAAAACAGGCCATCGAATGGAACCCATATGGGAAACGAAGAGTTGGGAGACCGCGTAAGAAGGAGGAGGGAGCTTATAGGTAGTCCAGAGGCCAGCTGAAAAAGACTGCAAAGAACAGAACAAAGTGGAGATGTGTTGTTGAAGCCCTATGTTTCATTCGGAAGTCAAGGGAATAATATTATTAATATTCAGTCGTATATAAAAATATTTGATAAATAACTTTGAAAGGACTGTTTAACCGTTTAAACCCAAACAAATAAAAATTCATTCACATTATAGAAAAATATTTTATCAATAAAGATCTATGCAGTCAAAAATATCACTGTTCAACACACTGGACCTGACCATCACTTCCTACTAAGTAACCGCGAAAACTCTTAGTAACTCTCAGAAACCAATGAATTCTTCAGAAAGAAGAACAGGTGTTACAAAAAAATCACTTTAGTAGAAACTATCACCCTCCAATTAACTCTTCTTTTTGTTACAATAGTAACAATTCATCTTAATCCAGCTGAGACATACACGCTGGCAACCAACGTGTAAAGAGGAGTCAATATACCATCTAAGTAATCCACAGTTGGCCAAACTCTCGACAAACTCTCTCTCTTAAATTATAGTCAGTCAATGGTAATTCCAATCAAACACTTTACAACTGAATTTTAAGTGGTAGTTTACCTTCATATTTACTACAATATACTGACATGACAACGTGCTGTTTATAAGCAGTAGTTCAATACGTATTGAATTTTTAAATTGTCAAATTAATAGCGGGAAAAATGATATGAAACAGTAATGATGTTTTTATTCTTCACGAAAAGAAATATTAATAAGAGAACAATAGCTTCCTTAATTTACTAATTTTATTCAAAGGTGATATTCAATCCTGAATTACAGTTGTTACTGGTATTCCATAATCTTTTATAATTAATTATTACAATCCACACCTACCCACACACACACACACTAAGATACTTTGTCATGTCATCAATCAATAATTTATGTTGTTTTTAAAGATTTAGAACACATGTGATATCAGTATAGAATGAGATAAAAAAATTTAATGACGTCTATCAGTATACTCATAATATACGCATATTCAGTTAGGTTGACCGTCTAATATTATTAACGAGACAGACTGTTAATTATTTACATAAATATTTGACACTAATTTATTTATTTAATTTTATTTTGATAACAGCTTGATGCCACACCGTATTTTCAGTACACGTATGGCATTTTCAGCATGGATATCGGTAGCCCAAATTTTGCAGGCCGACCATAGATATCGGGTGTGCGTCGGCAGGGGATCGAACCCCGGACCATGTGCATGGTCGGTGAGAGTCCTAACCACTGTGCTTCTCTATACTCCAGAGATTCGCCACGTGCATCAGTAGCTGACCAAATACCAAAAGGAATAAACAGCACCAAAGTTGGTCAGTTAACTAACCGTTGAATCAATTTCTATGCTAGGCAGGCCATCATCGTATGTGAAACCCGAATGGAACGCAGCGAGTTAGGCGTTGAACCGACGGTGATATGGAAAAGATCATGTTACCCTTTGGATTTCCAGCCTTAATATAAAATTATAACTTTGAGAGCAGTTTTATTCTCTCTTACTGAAATGAAAAGAATTCATAATTTAAGTAACTGTTTTTCGTATTCTATATAAAACTCGGGGAAGGAAACGACAACTCAACTTCTTACAAATATTTGATGTATTTGACCCTTTTGTTATCTTATTTCAAAAGCTGTTTTGTAGGGATTTGATTTGATGTCAGTTAAAGAACCACTGAAAACCAGCAAGGAGTGCTGGACAGTTGTTTCACCTTAGTTTTGGACTCACTTATGACCCCACCGGTGGTCACATCAAGGATCTTCGAGTTTCAAGGTGAACTCATATACCATTTAGCCACATAAACATAATCCTATGAATCCTAACTTCTGTCAATTCATGATTTTAGCGTGACTGCCAGCCAACGTTATCACTGAATATGTATCCTCACATTCGACTTAGTGAAATTCATTGGTCACGACTTCCCACTTCATCCTGTAGTCAGTTATTAGTGAGCATAGGAATAATTTCCAAGAATTAGTTCGTAGGGATTTTGTTTGTTTCAAATTTGATCACGGACTGATATCAGTTTGAGAACCGTTTAGGAACTAACTATGTAGTACTGGATAGCTGTTTTTTCTCTCTTGGGACTTTTCAGCAGTATGCATCTGATGACACCATCAGAGATCGAACTCAAGCAAGTTAAATTTCAGTCGCCAACCAAACAAAGTCACAGGCTGACTAACTGCACACTGGCTCAACTCGATTTACTCTACCAATCTGGTCCGCTGGCCGTAAATACCAGAAAATTCACCTTCGAAGTGGTCAGTGGGACAAGATGACATCCACACTACTAAGTATATGCAGAATAGTGTTTTGCATACTATCATTCGTTTCATTTTATTCCATGAATAATTTTATACTACTTATATTACTTATGATTACACTTTTATTTGCCTAAAAGTATATCATTTAATTAAAAGAAGTGATCAGGATTTCCTCTTGTAAATTTGAAACATGTTCTGTAAAGATTACTTAACTGTCCACCCAATCACAAAGAAAATCCAATGTGTGTTATTCACAAAGGGGAATTATTTCCTTGAGTGTTCCATGAGTACATATATTATTAGCACATAATCTATGCATGCGTGTATATTAATTAGTATGTGCATATTTCTATCTACGAATGTAAAGTATTCATTGAGGTAATGGTAGTGTTTAAGTGTGTGTGTGTATGTATGTATGTGTCTCTTATATTACTGTTATTTCTTAAAGACACTATGAATTCTATGCTAAAATGTACTTGCTAAGCAACAAATGTTTATTACATAACCATTAAAAGCGAGAGAGAGAGAGAGGGGCAATCATAGTTACACATTAACTGCTCATTAGTCAAATATCGTTCTCCATTTCTTCGCCATTAATTATTTCCATTTATTTATTAATTAATTAATTATTATTATTACTAAAGACAAACAATTCTGTCTCTAAAAGAGGAAAAAAAGTATCAAGCAGACAAACAAATAAACATGATGAATGAATTGGACTCAAATGTTATTGAACAAGCACGTTTATTATTCAGTCATTGTGATACTGATAATTGTGGTTATTTAACACGTCAAGCATTGAATCGTCTTAATGATCGTTTACCATTAACTAGTGCACAACTGGATTTTGTATTCAATCTATTAGATAAGGATAAAAATGGCCAGCTGACATTAGATGAATTTGTTCAAGGATTTGGTAAGTGATTGATTTTATTATTTTACCCATTTCTTTGTATTCCGTATGGAACATGAAGCTTCTTTCTTAGAATTTAAAGTTTCTATAACAGTGGTGAGGTTGATAATCTTAATGCTCACTTTCCCTCTTTACTGGGCTTAACTACCAGCTGGGTGAGATTAGGTGGTAAATTGGTGGCAGGGAATCGAATGTCGGCAAGTGTTTTACCTCTGAACCACCGACACACAGTACACTATAATAATTTTTCTTGTTTTTGAAATCCTCAACCTTTCTTAGTTTACTGATTCACTAGTTTACTAGCTTGTTCTAAACTGGAAATAAAAAAGGTTGGGCTTGGAGCTACTACTTCTGATCGATAATAATTATCCAAACAAGTTCATTAGGAGATATAAATTAGTCAGAACACCAACACCCACTCTTCAGCGCGCAACTAAGAAAGACGTATATATCAAGCTACCCTATATGGGTGATCATAACAGCTTGGTAACTTAGCAGAGATTGAACGCTGCGGTTAAAAAGTCTTTTTATGCAGCTAAGATCATAATAATTGAGAATGTGAAGCCAATATATCCATCTAAGCCCTTAGAATTTGCGAGAGACAAAATGATATCATAGCCCACTGTATTTACAAATTTGAATGTACGTGTGGCCACACATACATGGGGAGGACTCACCGATATCTGCAAGTAAGGGCTTCAGAGCATATTACTAAATCGCCCCAGAAGCAAACAGAATCCCCAGAAGCCATTAATGGTGAGAACAGGAGACCTAGTTCCTCTATCGCGAAACATATTCTAGAGACAAGACATAAAATTGATGTTTACACGTCATTTAAACCTATCTATAAAACGTGTTTGGGGCGTATCCTAATGTTTGTGGAAGCCCTAGCAATTAGAAAGTTGAAACCACCTTTATGCGTTCAAAGCAACAATTCGTCATCACACTAAACCTTCCTTGGTAAACTTTGTTTTGATACCATAGCAGATGTACTATCACCTCTCTTATTTGGTTTAGTGATCTTCATTGTTATTTTGACTTTCAGTATATCCTTTTAACTTGACCTAAATTTATTTTCTCACCTCTTAACTCTATTAATTTCATATGTGTTCCTGTGACAAGTCCGTGTGTGTTCGGATTGTTCGAAATGTGTTGCGCAAATACATTACACGATTCAGACAAATTACGTCTCCTTATTTATTTGTCTGAAAATCATTATTTCCTTGTATTCCTACTAGAAAACAAGGTTTCAGTGGCACATCGCCATTTCACGGTGTTCTATGCAGTCCTTTTTAACTGCCTCCAAGATTATCCAGAAGCTTTTATTTCCTCCTCACACTATCTATTCCATGTCACCCTTGAACTCATACCAAACTGGTAGCTCCCCATTTCGGTCGCATTCTAGGGCCTACCTACCGTGTGATCTCATTCAGTGTTTCCCTTAGTCTATGCCCTGTAGCGGTGGTATGTTTTACAGGGTGAATTTGCTAGCCTCATGCCCAACCTTCGCTTTTTTCTGGGTTTACTATCGACTAGGTGAGATTTAGGAGTTCGTGGGTTGGGAATTGAATCCCAGCTTCCTGTGTAGTCGGTGCGCATTCTACCATTGAAACACTGACTCACAAGGTGGAAATTTCTAAAATATCTTTGTGAGACAGAAAGTAAATTAAACTGATTATTTAAAGTCCACTGTAGATAAGATTTTATTTTGATAAATAACAGTGTTATACAGTAATATTAACTGATGACGTTTCGAGCACAAACTATTGCTCATAATCATATCAAGACACTCACAAAATAGTTTGTTTATATCAATGATTATTTAAAGCTTCAGTAGAATATGAAAGAAATGTCACTTAGCCAACGTATACATATTCAAAGGTGAATAGGACTAGCTGTTCAATAGACGTAGGCGTTTCAATGAAGACCATAGAAAGCAACACAGGCTATGCAGCACACACTTTATGAGATTTGTACTTTAGGCATTTTTCATATTATAACTGGTTAGTCATTGACTCAAGAGTAGAATGTTCGTCAAGCATACCTTCAATATGAGTTGTGTTCAGTATTCCTTCTGATAAAGCTTAGTTTTGTAATGAAATTAAAATGGCATGAACAAACTAGTCGACAAGAAATGTTTAAAAATTCCTCATCAGTCAGAAAAGTCATTATCCCACAAGGAACTATTCCCCAAAACGTCAGATTATGAGAGGAGCACGTTGTCCACATTCGTTCACTCAGTTCGATTCAAACTGTGGACAACTTATGCTTTTCTGTCAATTTTTGGTAAAAATCAACTGACAACCAACATTATTGGCGACTATATTCTCCCTAAATCTCTTAGCATAAGTCATAATTTTAAAAAAAAGAATTATAGAGAACTAATTCTGAAGAGTTAGTCACTGAGGTATAAAGCTTGTGAACTTAACTTATTCATGGGAAGGTAAACCCAGAAATAACTCAGATTTCAAAAGTCTTAACCCATATTATAAAAAGCTTTCCTGTCATTGAATTCATGTTTATGTGTTGATTCTTGTTTCTCATTGTCATGAGAAAATAATTGTTCTTCTTAAGTGTTTCATTACTTTTGCTGTGAATAAAATGTAGTGGAAACTACACTGAAGATTTAAGTGACAATTAAATGCTAATGTAGAAAACTACTGTCTAATTTAAAAGTCTGCCAAACCCCTCAGAACCAACACCTGAAAACCAACCTATTGCTTACTGCTAACTGAATACATGATGAAACTGCCTGTAGTTCCAGTGGCAAGCGTGATCAGTGGAGTCCATCGAATTGGGTGCTAGTACAAATACTCTCTGATGGCGTTGGCTGGAGGTTGTACCATATATTATGGATTGGCAGGAGTTGGAATTGATTAGCCATTGGATTCCTTCCCATCATTTGAATGGTATACAAGTTTGCCTTGTAATCTAAAGGTTCTAGATTTGATTCCTGGTAGGTTCATGAGTGCGGACTCCTGAGGATTTACAAACGAGGAAGAATTGGCTGTCCATTATTTCATGGTTTTCAGTGATTCTCTAGCTGAAGTCAATTCATGATCAAAATTGAAATCAGTCAAATCCCTGCAAACCAACTAGTAAAAAATTAAAATACATCAGCTGAACTAATTAAACTTCATTGGAATATTTTTTATAATGTTACCTTTTCAACGACCAAAATGAGGCATCATGACTAAAAGAAGTTAAAGAGGCGCAAAATACAAGTTGCCAATATAGATACATACATAATAAGGATAGTGACAACTTAGGTTTTGCTGCCAACTGGCCCCAGATACCGAAAATCAATTCAGAGTGCATCACAGGAGTGAGTTATTTAGCTTAGTGACCACACTATAAAACTGAGTGATAGAATCCAGTCAGCAATAACACTAAGTGCTAGACATATTGCTTACTCTCCACTAAGCAGTCAATGTATACATTACAGAGAGATAAGTCGTGAATCTGAATAGCCCAGTGGTAGCGCCTGTGATTACGTCACTAGGCGATACAGGTTCGAGAAACCAAGGGGATATCAGTTCCTTCAAAATTCTAGGTATAGCTGACGGATGAGTATGTCAATAAGCACAAAACTTACATTCATTATTTTTTCACTATTGCCTCCAATCAGTCGATATCATTTAAAAAAGGTGCATTGTAGTGGCGCGTCATACAACTTAGTGATTACACTGCAAACTTAACTAGTAGAATTTAGTCAGCACCAACACTAAGGACTGAACACATGACGTTGGCTGTTGGCTAGTTGCTGATCAGTGTATCCTATTGAATATAAGATATATTTAACAAATATTATTACTATTCCCTTGGACTTTGATTGGAACATAGGGCTTCAGTAGCACATTTCCACTTCACCCTGTTTTCTGAAGTCTTCTTTAGCTGACTGCACGGCTGCCCATAAGCTCTCATCTCCTGCTGACACTATCTCCTTTATGTCACTCTTTGACCCACACCATACTCACTGCTTCCCATTCTGGTACCACTAGTGCGTGACATCACACAACAACGTTCTCAATCTATGTCCGATGCACTTCTATTTCCTTCTGAAGATTTCTTGACCGTTGGTTCCTGGTTATTTGATTCCCAGAGTCCTTTGTTGCTGGTTCTCTCTGGATGGCCATCTGATTTACAGCATGGAACAAAGACAGATGTTGATAAGAGTTTGAAACCTGTTAGAAACGCTTCCCGTCACTCTCCAAGTCTCCGAACCACATAGAAGCACTAACTGACTTGACATTAGTGTTGAGAATCCGAGTCTTCGTCATGCTGAGTGCCTCAAATTTTCACACTAATTTCAGAGTAATGAAAGCTTGTCTTGCCTTTCCAATCCTGGTTGGTTTTGACATCCTCATCAATGATTGACAGTGGAAAATTCAAACTTTCTTTTTGTGGTTTAATTAAACAAAAATGAAGCTATTGATGATAACCAAAATAAAGACATTGAGCAATGGCAACCTAAAATAATATCCCAGATGTTAAGGTATGAATAAAATAAACTCAAACAGTTTATTTAGATCAGATAAGAAACAGTCAAATATGTTATATTATTTCTCAAAAACAGCTACGTAAATTGAGCTGGCAGGAATCGTTCTGAGCATTCAAACGAAAGACTTGGTGGTATTTATACAATATAATTGTATAATATTGACAAAACCATGTACAAAGCCTTTTATGCATCACAGGATTTCATCATAAGCTGAGACCGGTTAGAGAACCATTTTGAAACCTGGGAGTCTTGGACAACCGTTTCGTCCTAGTTTGGGGCTCATCATCAGTATTCACCAGCTGAGATTTGAACCCAAGACCTTCCGGTTACAAGACGAGCTCGCACCTTGAATGAAAGTACATCCCAGTGACTAATGGTGTTCCCAACAATCTAGTTAGCTCCAGGGTGGCCTCGAAACATCCTTACTAGAAGTCGAAATGTCGGCACAGATAAAGTAATAATATCAGTCGACAGGATATTCAAAATAACTTCTTTAAATAAT